CATTCACACACTGATGATGGCAAACTACACTGTAGCCACAGCTGCCCTGGGGCACACTGACAGAAGCGTAACGTTTGTAATGTTTGTTCAAAATAAACCTGCTTCTTATGACTTCTGTAACATGTTTTGAATAAAATATTATCAGTAAAAACCTCAAATCATGTCCTACGAATTAGAACTCTCTTGTAGATATAAAGGATAACATTTAGAAAATGCAATTATGCAACTTTCAAAAATACTTCCTCTCAGTCACTGAAAATAACTTATTTACCACATTTTAAAGACCGAATATTATCTGGGCCCTTAAGGGTTAATGCTCCAGAACAGGACTGTTTGACCTGCAGTGTGATGTGTGTGACAGAGGAGAGGAGAGGAGCTCCATGTTTGAGTCCAGCAGGACCTGTACAGCAGCTGATTCTGTCTGGATTTGAGTTTACAAACTACTCTGGTTACTTTTTTCAAAGTTGAAGGACATTACAGCTGCTCTGCTGGGGGGGCTGTATAATGGTAGGGGAAACACTGATCTGTATGTGCATAATTTGAATCATTGCAATAAAATAACTGTATGCTTTTGTCACTTTTACAGTGGATTGCATCAACTCTGTTACATTACAGAAAGGAAGCTTCACCGAAGTGAAACGTAAATCTGCAGATCTGTGTTTGATTACTCTGGCTGGCTTTCTCAAGGTCCAGGATGTGTGACACAAAAATTTGAATTTTGGAACTGAAAGTGAAAGTAGTCAAACTGAAATTTTTAATAAACCAAAATACAGTTTCAAAGCAAATTAATACAAATTCAAAACTTTAATTTATTTTCAAACCAATGCATTCAATTTCAAATTATGCACATTCAGGTTCAATCCGAGCAATTCTAATTCAATTCCTGCTGGCACATTTATCCCATACTATCAAGCATTAAGTACAAATCTTATGCTTTTTAAGGTTTGTTTACACAGGGTTACAAAATTTGTATTTTTTGAAGATAGTTTAACTTTTGACAATTGATTTATAACAAACATCCTCTACTGAATCCAAAAATAACATCTATTTCAGGTCACGTTTTTATTTCTAAGTTCATTTTTAAAGCCAAGATTTTGTCTAAATTGATTATTATGGATAATTATATTTTTTTACATTATCGGTTGATTTTTGGTAACATTTCTCACCCGAATTAGATTAAGATATGAATTGTATTCTAACACAATTTATTGATGAAATGTTACAAACGTCGGTTACTGTAAATGTAGCTGTCCACATTGATTATTAATTATTAAATTAATGTTATAGACATGTAAAGTGCGTGCTCAGAATCAGAATGTTTTTTTATCTTCATTCTTTTTGAATTCTTGATTGTTTTCCTTCCTCACTTGAACCACTTGGTTTCATTTAGTTCTCTTTCACTCCTTGCTTATGCGCACCATTACACMACAGCAAATTCCTAGTCTGTAACTTGCTTACTGACAATGACAAAGTGTTTCTGATTCTGAYGTTACTGTCAGCTTTGTTCCAAATTTAGGGCTTGAACTTCTGTTTCAGACAACTCTTCTTGCCCTTTGTCCACTGACGCAGATACTCGGTGCATGCTTTGCATAACATGTGCAGAGCCCAAGCTTTGTCCTGATCTCCAAGTTTCATACCAAAATAAGCACGGTAAGTATGAAACTTGTGACTGGATTCCTGTTAGGCACAAGGGTGTATTCTCTGCAGATGTAACAGAATGCGTCAGGTTTATTTTTGCACGATCTTCTGGTTGAAGCCATTTCATTTTTATGCAATATAGAGGCTTTTCACTTTACTCTTATGCTATGACCGGAAGCGAATTGACATCACTCATTAACTTGCAGTCTGAATAAGTACTGTAAGTAATTTCATTTCTAGAATGTGAGTTAAATAAAATTGAAATAAAATAAAAAATGCATGTAAACAGAATTGTAAAAAAAAAAAAATCAAGATTTGTTAATAACTCAAAAAGTTGACCTGATGGAGAAAAACGAATGAGATTTTTGGATTMAGCTCATCAAAATATTACTAAGTCCGCTGAAAAAACTTAGACAATTTTTTTTTGTCTGGACCAGTGTTATATTTCTAGGGTCTGTTTTCAAAGTTTATAAGGATTTATTTAGACTTTAACTGAAAATAAAACCCACACAACCAACAAAAGAACTCGTCAGATCGACACTTTGAACCAGATTTCTGATGAGAACTGTTCTGAAAATGTGTGCTGATCCTGCTATAGTGAACATGCAGCAAGTTGAGATTTAAAAACAGACATTCAGAAAAGACAGACTAGAGATGATTTGATGCTGGCTGTAATTTAAAATATTACTAAATGACACGAAATTTTTTATGTTCCATTTATTTAAAAAAACAATGTAGTAAAGGCTGTCAGTAAAGCATAGAAAACATACCCTTTRAAGCAGTTCTTTCTGGGATGGCATGGCAGAAACAAACATAGCATAATTTAATTTATAATAAATGATGACAAAGTAYTTTTACAACTTGCTAGCTGGACACAAAGTTCTTGTTCTACAAATATGATGAACATTATTATTCCATGGACAAGAGTCAGAAGTCACATGCCAAGAAGGACCGATGATTATCTACAAGAGATGTGAAATGAGAGGAATGACTAATATCGTAAAACTAAAGAAATGGTTTTCTATTTCTGACAGGCATGATGGGAGGGAGGAAGACGTGTGCTACTTCTGCAGGGTGAAGCCACAGAACTGTACCTCATGGAACTTCGCAAAATCTTCGTAAGAAAGCTTCTTGCCACATGAACATCATTCTTTGAGGGCATTTTTTGAGCTACAATATCCACCATGTTCAAATTCCTGGACAGCAAGGGGAAGGGACACACACATACACATGCTAAGAGCTCACAAACAGTATAGAAGACAAACACCACATTATATTTTACATGGAATATTRTGGAAAGGATAGTTCTGCAGAAATACAATGTCATCAATCATTCAAAAACTCACCAGCAAAAAGAAAAAAAAATCCTACACTAACAACAAAAATCACAGTTTTCCTGATGGGATGGTAGATGGTATTTCAGCTGGTATGTGGTATAGTATGTTTTCTAAATGGCTGATAATTAAAGATATAGCCCCCTCTCCTGGTCAAAAGAACTAATGTTTACAAAATTTGCCCAATCTATGGAAAAAGTCACAGAACTGTAAGACAACAGTTTGTCAGCTGTTATTGGGCTCATTATCAGAACTAGATGTAGGTGAGGTGAGCTGGTTGAACGCAGGCTTAGCCATATGGCCCCAGAGGGAACACGGCCCAGCATGAGGCAGGGGGCTTAAGAGAATAGAGAATCTCTTGTACAATCAGATCAGCCATCTCACCGCTTCGTTCAAGCTGTCGTCTGCATCCCAGACACCATATCTGCCCTCAATAAAGCATACACACTCCCACAGGTCGACAGGCACAGGGTTTTTAAGACTGTGTGGTTAAGGTGCCTTTCAATATATTTTGTAAGAGAGCGACTCATAATTAGGACTATTGGAAATGTTTTCTTTTTTAATAACATTCACCACACTGAACTAAAGCATTATTTAATAATGAAACAAACATTTACCAGAAATTCAGCTGAAATCGAGTCTTATTAAAGATAGCTCAAAACATGATAAAAATGAAATTATACAAAAATATGTATATTTACTTAATGCAGAAATTGTCTTTAAAAAGACAATCTTGACTGACAAAAGKTCCAACCAACGGGTTCCTTTACATGTAGATGTTGACATAAAAACAACTACTAAGTTAAATCACTACCACACATGCTCTTTTACAGACTGACACACAGATTTGGTAAAGCTAAATAAATTGGGACAATTCCACAAAATGTATTAAGGATTAGAGTTAAGACTGATTTAGACACCAAATGCTAGTCAGCTAGGAGCTCAAGTCTTCCTTGTTTCCTCACAGTCCCTGTTTCTGGGGCACTCGCAGCTAACCACACATGGTGCGTGCTATTGGTATGCAAATCGACCTGGTTTTATTAGGCCTATCGTCAGGGCTACAGCTGGCCCGACACAGATATGCTCAGAAAGKGAAGCAGGCGGCTGCAGTGGGGGCAGGGGGATTTCTGAGTGATCATTTTCCAGCCTCACTTCACATCCAAGTGTGTCCACAGAAAAAATGACCACAAATATACAACCTGCACACACGTGGAAGGATTTATAAAACTTGTAAGCAAGTTGATGGTCTGTTAATTATTAATGCTTAAGAAGTCAAAAATTATACATTTTGAATTACCTGCAACCCATTAAAGACTATATTGCTYTAAGTCTAGCTGATCGTAGCTTAGCCTAAATGATGGATAACCTCACACATATAGGACAAAAGCATTTACAACAACAAAAACAAGGTATTAGGGTCAAMTTACCAAGCAAAGAAGGCTTACAAATGTTTTCAAAAGGTAAAAAATTAGAGGTCAGCCTTGAAAAACACCCATGCACAAAATTCTAACTATGACAATCAAGTAAAAAGTGTAAGTTCAGCCAAACTCACCAAACATCAGGATGGAGAAACACAAAAACAACTAAGAAAAAAAAGTGTTCTTCTAAAAGCAGTCCAACAAGTCAAACTTCAAAGTTTGATAAAGAATAAAGAACAAGCAGTCACTGAAGTCTGAGCCTCATCTTAAAGCTCTACAAGTGATCCCCAACCAACAAACAACTGATCAGTCACATACTTTTCAACTAAACTAAGTTTTTCTGACGGAGTTAACTTAAAACTAAACTAAGTTTTTCTACAGAGACTTTGTTCCCCCTGAGAGGGGGTAGAAAACTGCTCATACAGGGGAGGACTATAGTCACAACCAGTCCCTTTTGAGCAGTTCCCCTAGCTTGCGTCATCTCATTGGCTCCAAGAAGCCAATATGCTAATGATAGGATGAAATGCCGGACTCTTCTCTTCCCATCTCCCCTGTTGCGAGGAAGAACTGCATTTCTACTATTACTATGGTAACAGCTTGATCTGTAGAGTGCTAAAGCACCTCACTTCCTGAAAGCCACTGGGAACAAGCAGTTGCTGACCAGAAGGGGACAACAGCAACAAAAGCTCAATATCAACAAAGTTTAGTTTCTTTTAATAAATATTAGTGACTTGTCATTTTTAGGTTTTTACCAATGTCATTGTCGTCTTCTTTTTTCAGCTGTTCCCCCTTCAGGGGTCGCCACAGTGAGTCATCATCCTCCATCTCACTCTGTCCTCACTCCAACCACCTCCTTGTCCTCTCTAACTGCATTCATGTATCTCCTCTGTCTTTTTCTTGTCAGCTGCATCTCTACATTCCTTCTACCAAAATACATACAGTTCCCCTTTAGACATGTTCAAGATTGTCCAAGATGAAGCCCATTCTGTCTAAAAGACATGTACAGTCATATGAAAAAGTTTGGGCACACTTGTTAATTTTCCTGATTTTTCTTTATAAATCATTGATTGTTTGGATTAAAAATATCAGTTAAATATATCATATAGGGGACAAA